CTGAAAAAAAAACACGCTTATACTTAATTTTGGCATGGTTTAATTTATTTGTTTGTTAAAGAAAAATATTTTAAACTGTTTTTCAAAGTAATGTAATACTCAAAAGTAGGTTTCTTTACAATAATCCCGTGTGACGAATAACCTACTATGAAATAGTACTGAAAAGTTGTTGGTTATGATTTGCTGACAGCATAAGCTAATAACAGCTGGTGTGTTGTAGTTTTTAAAATATATAGGCTTGAATAAAGAAGTAAATGAAGAAGAGTTTGAAGCTTATCATGATTATTTTGATGTGCGATCGGGAAATAGTGATAATTCAAGTGAAGACGATGAAGAGACTGAACAGAATGTTGGCCAAGGTCTACTGACAGATCCCTTTCTTGATCAAGTACCAACGTTGAATCCTGCGGATTTCGGTAATAACGACATTCCTATTGTTGAAGAAAATGTTGTAATAGAAATTGAAGCAAATCGAAATGACCTAGAAATAGTAGTTTTAGAAGAAGTCAGACCGCCAGCTAATTGTAGATTTTTTGGAAAAAAGGTGTAGCTGTAAAGCTAAGTGCGCAACTAAATTCTCATTAAATACCTATTTAGAAATACATCTTGAAGCTGCTGAAATCGACCATTACTGGGATCACGTCAACATATTGGATCAAGTAATATTGGGCCAACTGCGATATTTGAGGAATGATTCTGATCAAACCCAACATAGTCACAAGAAAATTTTTTCCAAAAAACAACTACAAACTACTTATTTAATCAAAGGTTAGCAGGTTTGTAGGGACACTTACATTTTTGTCACCAAATCAAAACAAAAAGATTAAAACGAATTTTGAAAATGTACAATGACAGTGGATTTGTTGCAAAGGTGTAATACCAACAAAATTGCTAAGAATGCTACTTCATTTAGTGACAAAAAGTACGTTGCGAAGTTCCTGAACAATTATGCTTAGCAACATGCGATTTATCTGTCAGGCAGAAGTAGTACTGTCTGTATATAACACCAATCTAAAACGGTCTTCTAGTGATAGCAAGAAAAAAACTTGGCGAGAGACATGCTCAAACATTGTTATCATGAGACCAAAGTCAGACCTCTGCTCCTTTTACCAAAAACATTATACTTCTGGTGCTGCTTATACTCTCTTGATAATCCACATGAGACAAGTGTCCATTACAGTTTCGATATGGCCCAATAGGTCTACATTCCCAGCAACCCCTTACAACCTGGCCCAATTTATTTTTGGTGCCATGTAAGATCGGAATTTTTGGAGTTATGTGTGAAACAACTAATAAACAGATAAACTAACTCATCCCAGAAAGTGTAAGCTCTACTAAAGATTCAAACCTTATTACAAGCCTGTTTCACTATTACTTGGAACAAAATAGTAAGGGAGAGAATGTGATGTACGTTCATGCTATATTTTGCTCGGCTACTTAGCGTAGAGGATAAGTAACAATAAAAACTATCACACTAAATTTTCTTATGACTGGTCATAACTGGGCTCTTTAAAAAAAAGTTCAGAACAATGTACATTTCTTCTATCCAAGAACTTATTGATTGCGCATTTCAGATGAATTAAACTCTGCTGCAGGATTTTAAATCCGAGAAAATACCTCTCATCACTCAGCACATTCGTTTTGACTTCAATGAAAACAACGAAGGAAAAGTGTAATGCAAAACGGAAACCAGTATATTTTAACAATTTTCCCATCGGAACAGGGTCCATCCGGATTTCCAAAACAAACAATACCACTAGGTAAGTTAAATTAATTAAATGAATTAGTATTAAAATGCTAATTTTATCCTCACAACTATTTTAATTTAATTTTTTTTAAGAATGACTAAAGAAAGAAAACAGTATTTTTACAAAAATGTAAGGAACTACTGTAAAGAAGAATTAAAAGACATTCTATGCCCACCTGTTGACACTCCTGAAGTACCTAGTTGAAGATCCTGATGAACCTCATCCGGGGCCGTCTTTCATTTGAATTTACACCAAGAACTTCATGGAGATGATTTTGCTAACAGGCAAAATTTTAAATATTTGGTATGGGAGACATACCGTGGCCAGCAAGATCACCTGATCTAACTCACAAGTGACATCTTCCTTTGGAGATACGTTAAAATCCTAGTGTACGCTAATATACTAACGACGAAAGAAGATATGAAAAATAGAACAAGGAAAACCTTTAGAAATATCTCTGCTGAAACACTAGATAATGTGCAAGCCGAATTCGTAAATCGCCTTCATCTATGCATACAGCACAGAGGGCAGATGTTTGAACACTTATAGAAAAAAAAAGTTATTTCATGGCCTACTAATGAAAAAATGGACAAGATTTGCCATTCTTAGCGTGATTTTGATTAATTCCACAATATCTCAAAAACTCGAACTGATAGGTATAGGGAGGGACACGTACTGAAGACTAGTAGAGAATTAAATTCTCTATCCGATAAACTAGTCAAATATGGGGTGTTCCATTTAAAATTTTCGACTTTTTGCAATTGAATATGGTAAAACAGTAGTTATATTTTGGAACACCTGTATAAGATATACCGATGTAGCCTCTATTTAAGGATATCCAAGCAGCAATTGTAGCAAATTTTAACTTTCTAGCTCGATCAGTCGCTAAGAAATTCAGATTTAAAGAACACAGTGTTAATTGCTAAAAATGAAAAGCGGTAAGTATCAACATATCTTATTAAAGTCAACATATTTTGGTGTGTAGAATCAGAACACGCAATAAAAACGGTACCATTCCATTTAAAATAATATATGTTTATTTCGGTACGTCGTTATGGAACATTCTGTATGTATCAAAACAGTTTGGGTTTATAGTGTGGTAAATTTTCTACAACTTTTGTCTAAGGAAGAACTGTGTATCTCGGCTTCTTATTGCCATTTATGTAATTTGCCGCTTACGTGGGACTACTTATATACATTTTGAATATACTTATATACAGGTGTCCCGTAACGATTGTACAATAAAATCACCATGCAATACTAGAAACTCATCATCAGTGGCGATTCAGTGTTAATATATGAGCCGGAGTTATAGATATCCAGTTATTAGGTTCATTTTTTTTCCAATGAGATTAACAGCTGATACTTCCATACGTTCTATTACAAAATGAGCTTATAGAGGCATTTGGTAAATTACCTCTGCAAATACTACAAGATTGCTACTTTATGCACGATGGAGCACCATCATATTAGGCACGCGTAGAGATGGAAAATTCTCGAGAAAAAAAGTAGGAGAATTCTCGATTTTGAGATTATTCTGAGAATAAGCTTTTCAATACAAATACAGCTCGGCAAATTCATATTGACGGTTGTACCGGGGCATGGTTCATATTTATGGGATTAATTACTAAGGAGTACTTATTTATGATGTTTAGAATACATTTGACGTAAAAAAATAATTTATTCTTTGGAACAAATAACAAGAAAAACAACAAAACGAGTATTATTCTAAGAAAAATTAAATTATTATTAGTTCGAATCTTATGAAATTTCAGACACCTCTGGCAAAGTTTCCAAATCACTACATTGAATCACTTCATTAACCCCCACATTGGTGGCAGAATCTTATAATTTTAAATTATGAGCAATGAAAGTTACTTTACCAGCTCGTTCAGCCGTAAGCCGATTTCTTACTGTTGCTGCACTCGACGCAGGCATACTTAGTGTCTTGCCCGCTACTTTACTTAATGTCGACCCAAAACCACCATACAACGGGATGTAGTTTTTCCACGGATTTTAAAACACATGGTTTTCCAAATAATTCTTCTTTAGATCGATAAAGGGCCAATTCTGCCATTACCTCTGCAGACTCAATTGGACAAACTTTGTTCCTTGTATTTGTTCTGGTTTGTATTATGATTAATTCCATTAAAACTTGGATCTAGAAATATTTGCAGCAAGATGGATTGGATTTATTGCCATTTGCTTTTTTTTAACTAAAAAGTTTATCTCCTTCCAGTTGGGTTATGTATTTAACAATAGGTGATAAAAGTTTGAAACTTTTACCCAAAAAATAACTTTGCAACTCGTTTACTGAGTAGGTATATCTTCAACTGTGTCACAAACTGCTAATGTTTTTGATGCATGTTGTGTGTCAAGAAGACTTTTTAAACCCATCATGTTTTCACAGGTAATTTTGAGGAAATGGCTGCTTTGGTGTCATTTCTTTCAGTTTGCATTGTTTTGAAAGTAGCCAATAAAATGTGAGAATTGTTAACTTCTTTGATGACAGATTAAACAAAAAATGAGCAATGCATTCATAAACAGAAATATGTTTGTACTTTTCAGGAATTACATTTCTCGCTTTAACCATAACATTATCAGTTGCTATAGCGAAGAATTTTTCAGTGCCAACTTCTCTCAACATTTCATCGATTTTTTCAGCAATATATTTTGCTGATGGTATGTCGACAAAGATTTGTTGGCAAAGTTTTATCAAACACGGTTTGGTGTAGTAATAATGAAGTTAAGTATGGATTCGTTTCTTTGGTTGCTCCAACCATCACACTGTAAGCTAAGAGCATTCGCTTCTCCAATTGTCATTTTAATGCCTGCATCAACTTTTTCATACTTCCAGTCCAGTAATTTATTTGATAATAAATAACGTGTAGCCATTTTGAAAGATAGTCTTATATGTTTGAAAAATGATTAACAGTGATTATTTTCAACAATGGCAAATGGAGTACCTTTAGCATAACAGCCCTAGCTAATAGTTGATCTAGCTTAGCTTGTTCAACTTTTGATGAAACATCAATAAAATCATCGAGTGTGGAAGACACCATGCACGATGAGAATCATATTATCGTTCTCGAGAATATTCTTATGAGAATATTCTTCTCTTTCAACTCTAGGCACGCGCTATTCGACCATACTTAGATGACAGATTTAACAATAAGTGGATTCGCTGATGAAGTATTGTACAATCGTTGCGGGACACCTATATATAAAAAATCAATAAATAAATTAATTTACCTATGAAAAGCGTATCGATATCTTTTATCATCCAAAGGGACAAAATCCATCATTAACATATACTCGGAATGAACATCCAAGCCGCATAATCTCACTTGAAACGTCGGAAACATTCTCCTCCCAGCTTTCGTCACGATCATTTCAGTTCCTAAATTATAAAATTCGTCCCAGAGATTTTTCATTTCTAAAACGGCCGTCGCCGCACTTAAAGCCGAAGAAATTGTCGCTAAAGAACTAAATCATTAAAAATATTAAATAACAATAAACTTGATATAAAAAAAAATCTTACTTCGCCTCGTTTCCTTTCCGTATATTATTATTATCACCATCGACATCTTGATCTAAAGATGTAACAGCATCCGCGTGTTCCAGAGGTGAATAAGCCCGCCGATCTTTCCCAACGCTTTGTGAACATGCTGAAAAATGAATTTAAAATTAAAAATCGTTTAAAATTCAAAGAATGGAGTCGATTAGCGCGAGGACGAGGGAGGGAGTGAACCGAAAAGTTTATTTTCGCACTAATTGCGACGTTAAATCAAAATCACTCGCCGTTTGGCTACATATCGCTACATATTCCCGGTCTCGCCAACGGATTTATCGGCCTTTGAAACGGAAGTCGTTTCTCTCTTTCTGATCTTTCTCCTTATACCCTTCGATCTCCGCTTTGCCCTCGTCCATTTCTTGTTTCTACCACCGCTTTACACATACGGCGCACAACGAAACGAAAATTAATGGCATCCCTATATTTTTAAAGCGAAAAAAGAATCTTGGAATTGTTACCATATGGAGAAAAAAATTTAATTTATTTAAATCAAAACTTAAAAAAATTGTGTCTACAATCAACTTTTTTTTGTAATATTGTAAAAGTTGAGTGTAGCCCAATTGAATGTAATTTTCCACAAAGTTCTTTGGATTAAGTCTTAAGTGTTCGCCTATATAAAAGATTGATTTAAGTCTAGGAATTAAGTGTGCCAATCCACTTCTTCAGTTAAACTTCTAGATAGTTGGTTGCCCCAAACAGGTATTAGCATGATTTACAACTCAGATTACATACATACATCCAAGTGGCGAGCTTGATCAAATCCACATTGTACCACATTGTTGTGTTATCTCGTATCGTTTTCCAACAAGAAAACATGGAACATGAAGAAATCTTTTTGAGGCTCTTATGAATGATTCTTTATAAAGCATTTAATGACGTGTTGGGAACTGAGGACGCTATTAAAGTGTGTACACAGTTTTGGGTATTCATGGATGTTTATTATTTTGGAACGACGGCGGTTAATTTAGGCTGGGATGGCTTGTGGTCGAAGTGATATCACATATACACTATCAATCAATAAGTAAGTCCAGATGTCCGTCACGGTCCCTACTGTTTAGTATCGTATAGTAAACAACGTTGACTTTATTCGCATTCAAAATACCACGCAGTGCAGAGTTATCTGATTTCAAGAAAAGTATAATCGTCGGGTATCAAAAAGATGATCGATCCTTAAGGAGCATATCTAGCGAGTTGAATTACCCAAAATCGACTGTAGGCTATGAAATTCAGAAGTGTGAAGCGATGATTGTCGGAAAATTCACGAAAGTTGGCAGACCACTAAAACTGAGAGATAGAAAATACCAACAGTCATCATACAAGGAGTTGTGGAAAGTATGACAAGGAGGATTGAGCCTATAATTGCCACATGTAGAGGTTCTACCAAGTACTGAATATAAATAAAGTTTATATCTCTTTTCTATTAGTCGTATCCAAATACGTATTGGTATATTTTGTATAAAATATTGGACAATGTGTATTAAAGCGCTTCGATTTAATTAAATCGAAGTCACTTACAGCCGAGCCGCTACATTTAATATCACATATATACCGGGTGAGGCATTTAAATTGAAATGACCTTATAATTCCAATCAATTTTATCGAAAATAGTTTCAGATAAAACTTTCATCATATGAAGGAGAAAAATATTCATATTTTATTTTCCTATGTTGTTCTTTGTACACTCTGTCTATAATGTAACCCCACAGAAAAAAATCAAGAGATATTAGATCGGAAGTCCAAGTAGGCCAATTAATGGCAGCACTCCTACTAACTAAAATTCGGGTTTAGAAATCATTCTCGTGAAGCTTTTGATGTAACGCTGTACGTATGGATGAAATTATGGCGATATAAAATTCTAAGTACACTGCGTTGGGATTGCGACAGACTTCGCTGACAGACTTCACTGACAGACTTCAAGGGCAGGTATACATGAAAAATTAAGATGAACAGTCTTAACATACATGGGCTCGCAAATGCCTCCTTAACGAGATATAGGCTGTCAAAGTTTCTTTAAAATTAAACATTATCCGCAATAAAGAAGCCTTTTTTAAAACCCCAAAGGCTTCTGCGCACCAGTGGTACTTTATCTAACTAGATGTTCAAATGATTCATTAAAAAATTAAGGTAAGACTGTCCATTTAGTTGCCAATAATGCCAGCATTGGAAACTCATGCTGAAAATTTATTATATGATTAGCGTGAGGATTTTCGTTGCTCCATAAATAATTATAAAGAGGAAGGCTATCTTGATCAGATTTTTAACGTTGAAGAGACAGGATGAAAATATCTGCAAGAACATTTATCGCTAAAGCAGAAAAGTCTATGCCAGGTAACAAAGCAGCAAAAGACACACTAACACTTTCATTGAGTGGCAACGCCTCAGACACTATCAAACTGAAACCAATGTTAATTTACCAAAGCGAAAAGCCTAGAGCCCTGAAAAGCTATGATAAGTCTAGCCTTCCTGTTCACTGAAGATTTAACAAGAAAGAACAAGATTAAACAACGATTATGTCGATTATGTCCAGGGATAGTTAGTGATTTTAACAACAATGAAAAGTCTGTGACCATACAACCATAATAATGGGCAACATTGTAGAAATGGCAAAAGAGCTAGATATGGAAGTAGACTTTGACCAACGAAGATCTGTTAAGAAGTCAATAGTGAAGGTAATAATATTGAGCTATCTGAAAGTTTATCAACGATAATACTTCTACAAGCATTTGAGCACCTTGACAAAGTAATGGACCTTTTTGAAGAACATGATAGTAACATTGAAGTTAAGAAGAAAAGAAAAGAACTGGAACCCAAAGAACTGTGGACAGCTATTTCCGCGCTAAATCTTTACCATCAACGTCCAGGATCCACATTGCCACCAAAAAAACATCGAATGTTAGATTAGACTCAAAATTTATTTTTACTGTGCATATTTTTGATTATATTTAGCGAGTAAAAAAATCGTTCGAGAACCGTAACACTTGAAAATAGAAATTTGAATTGACAATTAGAAACTGTCAAAATACAAAATGTATTCAAATGTTTCTTCTTCAGTACTTAAAAATAATGGAAAAATCTTTTTAAAAAATATTGGGAATAGATCTTAATTTTTCTTAAAAACAAAATATTTCTAAAAAATGCTTTACAAAATTATATTAAATCCTTAAATTTCTTGGAAATTAACTTATGTTCGAAACATGTCTATTTATTGAAATAAATTAAGTATTTTGTTATTTCTCAAAAAAAGTTTTTACTTTTTCCATTTCATAATTTATTTTATCTACGACTGCTTGGATAACTCGTATGATTACACGCAATTCTCCACACTCGTACTGTAATTATGTTTCTAGCCCACTTGCAATATAAATAACTATTTTGTAATTCACGACGGTAACGAAAGCTATAACAGTACTCAAACGGGTGCTGTAATGAGACTCCTTACAGCATCCGATGCTGTAATGAGATTTTAGTAACATTTTATGGAACCAGTTCAAGTTGGTGACATTGGGTCATTAATTTTTCTAGTTGTCAATGTGGCAATTTTTGTCTATGGATGTTTAAACACGTTCTTAGCATCGAATGCAAAGTCCACAATCATGAGGATATTGAACACTGAGCAATTTCTCTTATTTTGGGAGATGTACATGAAACATTTTTTCAGGTGAATACATTTTGTGTTTTGACAGTTTCTAATTGTCAATTCAAATTTCTATTTTCAAGTGTTACGGTGTTACCAACTGCTACATACCTATTTCCCTCCCTACATTGTCAAAATTTATTTTATTTTTGTTAAAAAAAAAAGGATAAAAGCGCGAATTACAAAAAATAGCTTAAAAAAACACGTTTCATAAGACTTAAAGCACTCATTCATTAAAAAACTCGTGGCTTCGCCACTCGTTTTTCAACTTGAATTCGTGCCTTTCAAGCGTGTCTTACGAAACTTGTTTTTTAATATACTATTATCTACGACTGCTTGGATAAGTCTTCATTACAGCACTCATTTGAGGTGATTTGAGTTACGTAATGAAGTTCATTACCGCACTGGTTTCATTACGTAACGCATTTTTAGCCTAATCAGAACAGACTTAATTTATTGAAACGAGCAACAATACAAAAGAAAAAGTACTATCTACTTACAGAGAAACAATACTATTTATTATAAACATTAATTGTTATGTTTTTACATTTCGAAACACTTATTCCAGATGAGTAAACATGTTGTTGAAACTGACAATTCAAAATTGTTAACAATCATTTCAAAATATTTTTATAAATGTCAAATAGACTTTTTTAAAGAAATTGATTTTTTAGTAATTTTTAGCAGTCGTAGATAAAATGCTGTATATCACACTTGGGCTAGAGCATAATTACTGTACGAGTGTGGAGAATTGCACGACGAGGTCGTAGACCGAGTCGTGTAATCACACGAGTTTCTAGTCCACTTGTAATATAAATAACTATTGTGTTTATACCTTTTTTTTGTTCTTGTTTTCAAGTTAGTACCCACATATACGGATACCTGCACTAATAATTCAAAACATTTTTTGTTTTATGTACTTTTTCACTTTACGTACAAGCGTAGGTCCCCATTAAGTACCCATTAAGTATATACAGGCTGCTCATTATGTATGGAATATAGTATGTAAATATCGATTTTATAAAAAACTTTTTATATAAAAGTTGTTTAACATTTTATTTACCATAATAAGACATTAGGCTCATTTGATAGAGATTTTTTTTTGTCTTTTCGATGACGTAAAATTTTAGAACCTTTATATCAGAAAATTTTTCAAAAAAATGTAAAAACTGCAATAAGTTAATTTCACCAATAACACTAATCTGGACATCCTTCTTCGTAAAATTCCGAGCAACATTGATAACTGTGGCGATTTCTCCATAAACAAAAATCATTTCAATTATTACAGCAATCGTATGTCTTTCCAAGCTTAATTAATGAAACGTAACGAATGAATTTGTAGCTAAGGGAAATTTTGACAGATATGTTGTACTAAAACAACTGCCACCTGTTATGGCCGCCTTACTACACTCAGCGGCATATAAAACGCATCACCTAAAATCATGACCGGTTTCAAACTGTAATAACTTTTGAACGTATTCCTCGATTCTTCCCTTTGCCAATATTTCTGTAGGCGTCTTCCCCATTTTGGCGCTCATTAATTTCTTCATACACTTTGAAACTTGCTATGGGGTGCACCGACAAAAGAAAATAATTTTAATCGTAAGGGGCTCGTAGTCTCTGATCACTTCTGTTATTTGTTCAAGTTTCTATTGTTATCACCAAAGTTACAAGCTCTAAAGGATAACGCAGCTTGTTCGCCAGCGCCATCAGAAATTAAAGCAAGTCATGGAATTTGACGAAAACATTTCAGTGACGTTTAGTGTCGTTAACGTCATACACTGTTGCTAAACAAGAAAAATGCTTTTAAGTCTTGCAGAAGTTGCTCAGGCAGCGGCTTTGGTGGAAAATGGACGCAGCAGTCGTTATGTTGCTCGTGTTTTTGGCGCGATACAGAGTACGGTTTCTCGCGCTGTTCAAAGATTTCGGCAGACTGGCACCTTCATCAGACGACCTGGATCGGGAAGAAGACGCACCACACAACCCCGTGATGATCGATATACTGTAACGACCGTGTTACCAAATCGACATTCCACAGCAGTTGAGACAAGAAATTCAAGCGTATGGAGCAAGTGCGTCGGGTGAACGTGAGTGAATGCACAGTAAGATGCACAAAGACCAGCAACTGGACCACAATTGCGTCGAGAACATCGTATTGCTCAATTACAATTTGCACGAGATCATGTTCAGTGGACCAATGCAGAGTGGTGAAATGTACTGTTCTCAGACAAGTCAAGGTTCGGCTTGCACTCTCCAGATGATCGGGTGAGAGTTTGGAGAAAAGCAGGAGAGCGTTATGCTCAGTGCAACTTCTCTGAAAGAGTACAATACCAGGGAGAATCTGACATGGTTTGGGGGAATGTGCTTCGAAGCACGTACGGAGCTTTGCTTTATCAACCTAATCTAAGCAATCTAAACGCGAATCGGTATATTGAAGAAATTTTGGCTGAACACGTGGCTCCCTTTGTCCCATTTATTGGTGACAACTTCTTGTTCATGCACGATAATGCACGCTCCCATACAGCTTGCATAGTGTCCCCATACCTGGATGATTTGGATATCAGCAGAATGGAATGGCCCGCACGTAGCCCTGATTTAAACACCATAGAGCACATGTGGGATATGCTAGGGAAACGTGTTAGACCCCAGGGTGCCGTTATACAAGCGCTAGATGAACTCCGAATAGCGCTAGAAGAAAAGTGGAACCAGATTCCCCAAAATGAAATTCAAAACCTGATTCGAAGTATGCCTCGAAAAATGAGGGATAGCATTCAAGCGAGGGGGAGAAATACTTTCATCGACATCCATGACTTGCTTTAATTACTGATGGTGCTGCCGAACAAGCTGCGTTATCTTTTAGAGGTTGTAACTTTGGTGTTAAGAACAATAGACACTTGAACAAAAAACAGAAGTGATTAGAACAGACGAGACTACAAGCTCCTTATGATTAAAATTATTTTCTTTTGTCCCCACAGCAAGCTCAAACTGTATGAAGAAAACACGCATTAGCGTTATTCACCATTGCTGAAATTGAAGAGCGCCAAAATGAGGAAGGCACCTAGAGAAATATTGGCAAAAGGTAGACCTTTCAAGTAAAAAAACCTTATTCAAATCGAGCAATACGTTCAAAAGTTATTGCAGTTTGAAACTGGTCATCATTTTAGGTGATGCGTTTTTTATGCCGCTGAGTGTATTCCAGCCTACTTGATGTTAGTTGTGGTGTTCCTTGGTTATACTTTGAATCTTTATTATGCGTAATATTCATTAAATAAAAAAATGTTTTAAATAAAAGTTAATTATTTTGTGAGATGAAAAAAATATGTTTCCACTTAAAAAAAAAAACTTGCTTGACATATGATGAAAGGTTATGTCAATCTTTTTTCACATAAGACTTCAGCTTAATTAACCCAAATTTCCTTAAAAAGTATCCAGATTTGTATCGATAAAGCATCAATTGTAGATGCTGCGTCGCAAGCGACCTCGGCTTTATTGAACCATACATTCTTTCAAAAATCTGGTTTTATATTTATGTCAGCTTTGTATCTTTATATATGCGCTATTACCTCGGTCGCAAGCGACCTCAACTTAATTAACCTGAATAACCTTAAAAATTATCCAGGTTTAAAGCATCATATATACGCTATTGCCTCGGTCGCAATCGACCTAGACTTAATTAACCCGAATAGCTTTGAAAGCTATCTTGGTTTGTATTTATACGACATCAATATTTGCTCATTGCCGCGGTCTCAAGGACCTCGGCTTAATTAACCCGAATAGCCTTGAAAACTATTTAGGTTTGGATTTATACGGCATCTCAATATTTACCCTCTTTAACTCATGTAACCATAAAAACTATCCAGGATTTTGTGTCCATAAATATTATACTCTATAAATTTATGCTGTATTGCTCCAGTCGCAAGCGACCTCAGCTTAATGAACCCGTGCAGCCTTAAAAACTATCCAGTTTTATATACAGTGTGTTAATTAATTATCGTACTCGATGTCATCATTGCAAGTATGCAACCAAATACGCAAATCGCGTATTTCAATACGTATACTGTGATATTAGTTGCATACTTGCAATGATGACGTCGGGTACGATAATTAATTAACACACTGTACATATATACAGCGTCAATGTATGCGCTGATTACATTGATGTAACGCCTTGACCACAAGTGACCTTGGCTTAATTAGGATAATCAGGAGATACCTTCATCTATGAAAAATGCTTAGATTAAAACAACCGACAGGAGCGACATTTAATTCATCAAAGAGGCTGTGTTTAACCTGCTTTAGATTATGAATCAAGTATCCAACCGACTGTCTGTTTGGGATAGCCCTACAAGATTTGTGTTATTGATAGTGCTTTGAGTGCGGTAGGATTGAATTTACGGGTGTACTATCGAAATCATAGTGTCTGCTAAAGTGTTCCCAGTAAACAATTTGCGTTTCAGAAACATTTCTGATTCATATTATTGAAACATGGAATGTTTCTTCGAGATATTTCTGAAACATAGTTGAAACGTATCTGAAACTGCTAATGTCTGGTCCTTTTTATGTTTCATTGAAACGTTTCTAATGAAACGTTACTGCAACATACAGCTGACAATTACGGTACATTACTAAAATGTTTCATTAACAGTTTTGAATTATTTCTGAAATGTAATAGTTATTTATTGTGTAAGTGTTTTAGACAGCATCTTATTCACGCAAGAATGTTTTAATTTTCTTAAGTGAATAAAATGCATCTAAAACACACATGCAATACAACGTTTCATCCACAATCACACTCATTTAGAATCAGAATCGCCAAAATTTCATCTGATGTTATCAAAAAATGATTTGACATTTCACTCTGACGGCTGTCGCCTCAAAAATCATTGGAATTAACTAAAAAAACATTGTGAGGTGTTGAATTGTTGCTATTTTTTTTTTCGATTGTTTATTACGACTCCATTTGTAACATATTTGTAAAAGTGTGAAAGTTGTAAAGGTAAAGTTGGTGAAAAATGGAAGAAAGTGATATGACAAATCAAACAATGAAATGTCTATTAATATAAACGTTAATGTTAATATAAATAATAAATAGGATGTGATTGATTTAAGATTGTATTTTTCATTATTCCACTACTATCCGTGCAAAAAGTCAAGGCCCCTCACTTTAGAGATCTATATCTTCGCAACCGTTCGATAAAAAAAATTGCGACAAAGTTTGTTGTAATCACTGAACATTTCTACGTAACATATGCTAATTTGAAAATTTTCGGACCACGGTTTTCTTTTTATCAATTGGAACAGATGGTGCGTTCCAGACAGGACGTCGCGCCTTATTTCTTTATGTAGGTAAGATAAAGGCGCGACGTACTGTCTGGGACATACCATTTGTTCCGATTGGACGGAACCCTCCTCGAACATGTTTCAGACACATTTGTAGAGAAATGTTTCTGCTACATATTTTAATGATATTTCATAAATATTCCTACTGAAATGTATTTGATACATATCTTTAGATACGTTTCGTAAAATTCGTACCTGTCACGTATGTATATGACACGTAGTTCTAAGATGTTTCATTTAATTTACTGTACATTAAAATTGAAATGTTTCAACGATGTTTCTTGTTTACTGGGTTAAGGAATACATCGAATACAAATGAATACAAAAACTGCCCAGAACATTGCAAAATGAACATTGATAACAAACGATACATACGATGCATACCGTATGTATCCGTAACGATGCATACCAACATTCAGAAGAGCAAGGAAAACATATTGCAGTTAATCTTCAAAATAAGAAAGTAAAATAATCTTCAACAACTAAGAAATTTGATAAGTGTTGATAAAATATGGCAACATTTATTTCTGCCAAAATACGAAAATATAGAAAACGATTAAAAATAATGATCATACTTGGCATAAAAAAAAAGTTGATTGGAATTTTATTTTTTTTATATAAATCAAAAAGATAAATTTCAACCATTAGATTTACGAGCGCGCTTACGAAAATCAACAAACGGATTTCTTGATTTACGGAGCCGATCCTATTAGTTATAACCGAGTTAAGATTTGTTTGCGTTTCGCCCGTCGGACGCAAATAAATCTTAAAACGCATCGAATAAGAAGAACACGATGAGAAAAATCTTTTCCACTCACCTTCGATTTGTTTCATCGGCGTCACCGTCGACGAATAATGCCATTGATCGTTCGGAAAACAACAGTCACCGTTATTAGTTGTCACTAAATTATTTTCAACAACACCGGAAGTACCACCACCGCTTACACATTCGTTCCCGTTCCTTCTTATCTGACACTGAGAGTTATAGATGGTATCGTTTAAAACGTTCACCGTCCAACGATTATCAACCAAATCGTTTTCAACAGCCATTATTTTTATTCTTTATAATTTAATTTTTTAATTAATTAGTAAGTTTAAAACCGAACTAAAAATTTTTAAATTTATTTTTATTCATTATTATTAATTTAGTTGGTAAAATTCTGAAAAAAAAATAAGGGTTAATTAAAAATTTTTATTTAGTTAATAACTATATTAAAAAGAGTGTAGATTCCAATAAAATTCTTCTTAATAACACTAATTATATCAATACTTAATAATATAATTAATGTAGATAATTAAACAGGATTTAAAAAATCAAAGCAAAAAGATGACAATGTTAAGGTATATTATTATAAATAAATGATAATCGTACTTAACGATGAAATAGTTTTATTTTTTGGTTTCGACCGCTTTCGGCTTATATTGCCATCTTCAGGAAACCACGTTATTATGATTTACGTTTTTTCAAAAATTTCTCTTGCTGAGAAATTGCTCCTAAAAGTTTATAACATAAAAGGTGAAAGTTTATAGTAATAAAGTTGTGTAGAAACGCCGATTCTAGACAGGATGCATCTTCGTACCTCCGTGACGTCATCCGCTCAATGTAAAAGTATAGGGAGGGGTGCCAACCAAAGGCTTGGGGAATAAAATAGGTTGGTATTGGAAAAGTAACTTGATCTGGTGACTTTAAAAAAAGTAAGTAGAAAAATTTTTTGAATTTACGCGCTCATCAGGTAAACCCCCTTCTCCTTCGCCGCACACCATAAGATGGAGTCAGGCTAAATTTTTAGGTTAGGTTTTCAATCATCCCACACCTCTTCTACCTTGTGACGCGAATTTTTCTAGTTACTTTTTTTTAAACGTCAGCAGATCTAGTTACTTTTTTCCCCAAGCCTTTGGTTGGTACCCCTCCCTATACTTTTACATTGAGCGGATGACGTCACGGAGGTGCAACTTCCTGTCAAGAATCGACGTTTCTATACTACATAATAAGTTGGATTAAACACAGATTTTATTAAATGAAGACAAGAAATATTGTAAAATAAGCACAAATAATAGAACAAAGATAAAAAGAGAGATGAGAAGTCAAATTATTATGATTTTTAAAAAACGTAAATTGCAATAAGGTGGTTTCCTGAAGATGGCAGTATAAGCCGAAACCGGTCGAAATCAAAAAATAAAACTATTTCATCGTTAAGTATCATTTATAATAATATACCTTAACATATACGATGATAACAAAGAATTTAAACACAACCAACGATGACAATATTGGTAACATTGTGGAACTTTCACATGAACACAAGTGTGGTGGATCTTGGTCCACTACCAGATGTTCCAAGTGTGATCAAACGTCTTGGATCAATCGAAACTGAACTTAATAAAGTTTATTACTAAAAATAAAGAAACTAAAAAACCTTCGAGTCATGTCAAAGATGATATTGAGGAACGCAGCGATAATGTTTCTTCCAAACGCGATAGGTATTCAAATGGCTAAAATTCTTATCGCTGATGGTCAATTTTTGTGAACGATGTTTTGTTGATGCACTTTCAACACAGCTGCAGTATTTTCTATCGAATCAGTTGAACAAAGTTAATATTTTAAGAATGAAATACACAATATACTGCACCTTTTAAATGATTAAAAAGTTATTAAAGAAAGTCCAGGTATTGAGTGATGTTAGAGAGGATATTGCAATGTGATACGATGTTAAAAGATATCGGCGGTGATATCAATAGATGATGACTAAGATGTTGAGAGTGGCAAGAATTATATTTAATGACACCAAAGATGATATTGAGAGATACAATAACCAATATCGACGAAGATCATGGACGATATTAGAGAATATTAAAAGCGAGTTTGAAAGACATCAGAGATACTGTTAATAGAAGATGGAGGAGGTGTTGTGGGAGGCCAGGACATTGATGATAATGACGAAGAGAAGTTAATCAATGCTAAGGAACATCAATGACGATGTTGGATACTGCAGTGATTCTCATTTTGATTAGGAACAGACGTGCATCGTAGTGTTCATCAACAATACTAACTTAATCTTCAAACGGAAGACCATTTACGTTTACTTAAGCATTGTATGAGGTTCCCTTCCTTCCAATTTATTTTCACCAAATTATATTAAATATCATTAAGTATTTAATGACTACATGAATAATGCACAGTTCATACAAGAATGACTTAACTGATAGTTTCCAGATTCGCGAGAAAATCTGTCTAAAATGTATTCTTAATCTTTCATAATCGGATTAATTACAGCGATTCAGATATTTAGAAGCCGTGTGTCTTTTAAGACAGCTAAACCCGAATTCTAGTCTAGGTTTAGTGTTTACTAGACTTACGTGAACCTGGAGATACGTAATTAGGTGGATGAAGATTGCATGATAATACACTCACTTTCACATGAAATACACCACCGATTAAGAATTAGACTACAATTTTGAAACTTCGGTAAAATAATGCTTTATTATCAACTAAGAAACGACGAAAGTTTAGTTAAAAAAAACAAAACAAAAATTATCATTTTTCAAGAAAAAGCTAGTAGTGGGTTGAATCTACCCATGCTCTCTATTAAGTGGTCGATATCCTCCTGGGGTATCTCGTTCCATGCAACCTCTAGATGATGTCGAAGTTCATCCAGATTCTCAGAAAGCCTTGTATTCTCAGGTACTTGTCTTAGTCGCCGAGCCATCATATCCCAGGCCAGAGCAAAATCTGCAATCCAACCTGCTCCAGGAACCTTCTTGTAACCACAGCAAGGGGTTTGCATTATCCCGTTGGAAAGTGGCATTCTACAACGTCTGCATGAAAAGTACCAACACCGATTCCAGAACATTGTCGATGTAAGGACGTACGTTTAATGTGCCTGGAATGAACGTGCCCAAACCACAACCCCAGGTGTTAAGGCTGTGTGTCGTCTTTGAACGAACTCCAAATTCCGTCTTTCCCCTCGATGTCGCCGCACCCTTCTACGACCATCATTCACCCATAAACAAAACCTTGATTCATCTCTGAAGACGATGTCATTCCATTGATGAACCCACCCTTGCAGTTCTTGACAGCATGCAAGTCTGGCTGCTTTATGGGACGGTATGAATGAAGCCCAAAGGAAGAAATTCTTTTGTAAACAGTTGCCATCGACAAAGTGTCGGTTCAAAGCTCTCGTCCATTCCACATCAATCGAGTTTGTTGTTTGAAATCGATCCCTGGTAGGTTTGAATTTTAGTGGGTGGTAGATTTCATATGAAAGTGAGTACACATCAGTTTCGTATGAGAATCCATCAAGAGTTGATTAGTCAGTTTATAAGAATATGTTTAATAGTGTTTTAGAACAACTTAAGTATTTTAAACATTAGCCGAAAGCTTTATTTATTCCCTTACATATTAGTTATTATGTCAACAAAAAGAAAAGAATTTGACTCTCCAAATTTTCCAGGAAAACGTAAAACTTTAACACTTGAGCTAAAACATAGTATTGTGAAGGATGTTGAAGAAAACATGTGAATTGGCACACAAATTCACCCTTGCTTACACTATTGTTCATGACTGTTCAGGCAGAGAGGTATGGATGATTTGAACGTGGTACCACGCAAGGTGAGGAAAACCTTGATGGATGTGGAGTGGGGGTATCTATTCGTCAGGAGCTGCTATTTAGTTATTACTAAGAAAAGACTTGGTTGAGTATCAACCTCAATACTGTATGGTTTCAACAAGATGGGACGACATGCCATACATTAAGAGCAGCTATGGAATTTTTGAGGCAGACCTTCCCTGGACGCCTTATTTCGTTGCATGGAAATGTGGAGTAGCCTCCTCGGTCACCGGGCCTGTCACCGACATAAACAAACCACATACACTTCAAGCCCTAAATGAAACAATAATACAAGAAATTCTTTAATTCTTGTAATGGCGACATTCAAGCTACACATTGAGAAAATAAAATGTGAGTTTCGTTGAAAAATGAGTGTGTAACTGTTATTTCAAATCATCCATACCTCCCTGCCTAATCCTGTACAATAATAAAAGATAAAACTAAAATTCTTGGGGCTATTAAAAATGCTCAATAATTCAAATTTAATTCGTAAACGACATGGTATGATAGCTGAAATGGAAACCTTGCTTAAAGTATGGTGTGAAAACTAAGTGAATGATAAAAATTGTCCAGTAGACCAGAATACCATATGTAATCAAGCCAGGCAGATTTTTGAAAAGTTAAAAGAACAAGTTGCAGATGATGCAAAAGATGAAACTTTTGTAGCCAGCAATGCAAAAAGATGCGATTGGCACATCTGCTTTTCCTATCGCATTAAAGAAGTTAATGGAAGAAGGCGATTATAGCACACAGACCATATTTAATGCAGACGAGACAGGGCTTTTGCACGCCAAGAAAAAATATTTCCAGGATTCAAAGCATTGAAACATCGACCAACAGTTATGCTTGGTGCAAACACTGCTGGCGATTATGAACAAAAACCATTGTTGGTGTATCGGTCTGAAAACTCTAGAGCCCTAAAGAATAAAACAAAATCAGAATTGCCAGCAATTTGGTAGTTCAATCGGAAAGGTTGGGTTACTGCTTCTTTATTTGATGACTGGTTTGGAAATCATTTTATCCCGGAAGTTGAACGGTACTGTTCCTCTAAGGCACTCTCTCCCAAAGTGTAGGTCGCGACCCAGTGGTGGGTCGGATATTAGCTGGGCCATAAAACTGTTAGGAACTAATTATTAGGAACCTTTGTGCTGAATTGTTGTGGTTGGCAATTCGTGAAGTGCTTTCTAGAATATGGCCTTATTGTCTCCAACCTCGATAACTGTGTTATATTATAATAATGGAAAAGTGGTTAAAGCAAAAATAGTGCACAAAGCAATAAAAAAATAGACCATGTTATTTTGGATGAAAAAAACGATACTGAGCCTGACGAGGCTCACATGAACGTCGAAAAATTGTGACAAAATATGATCTTGAGTACCTGAAATAATTATTCACCTGGAATCAAGATACAGTGGATTCCCGTCCTCAATGCGTTATTTGCTGCGAAATATTGGCGAATGAAAGCATGCGTCCGAGTAAGTTATCA